CCCACAGCGACTGCTGTTGCTGCCGCTGCTGCGATTGTTGCTGCTGCCGCTGCGAGGGGTAAGCAGCCCGGTTCCGTATCTCTAGGGTCGTGGAGCCAAAAGCCAAGGAGCAAAATGATGTGGTCCTCTTGGAGCGTGCAGTCTAAGTGCAGGCTCACCAGCTGTAGGGGTTGAGCGAGAAGCCGGAGAGCGGAGGGAACTATCCAGCGGTACAGAAAAGGTGCTGATGGCACTGAGGTCGCCATGCCAAGAGGAGCGGCGTCGAGGAATGCTAGGAACGAGTAGTAGACTAGCAGGAGGCACTAGGGGCTGCAAGAGCACTGACGGAGGTAGCACCAGTGACGGATGTGGCCGCAGCGGCGGTCTGGCAGTGGTGGCTAATGGCAGGCTGACGGTAGCAGTAGCGGGTGACAGTAAGTCGGGAGTGGTGGCTAACTCGGGGCGAGCTGGGAGCAAGAGGTGGCAAGCTGGCAAGCTGGTGAGCTGACGTGCTGCCAAGCTGGTAGCAGCAGGCAGTGGGGTGGGGCGCTGGTGGCAAGCTGGCGAGTGAGTGAGCGGGCGAAGAGGCTGGTGAGCTGACGAGTGGGCTAGCTTGCAAGCTGGCAGGTGCTGCTGGCGGCAAGTTGGCAGGTGCTGCTGGCGGTTAGCTGGCAGGCGCTGCTGGCGGTTAGCTGGCAGGAGCTGCTGGCGTCCGGCATGCAGGCACTGCTGGCAGCGAGCCGGCTGGTGCTGCTGGCGGCTGGCTGGCAAGCGAGGCCGGTGGCGAGCTGGCAGGCGCTGTGGCGGCGAGCTGGCAGGTGCTGCTGGTGGGTAGCTGGCAGGCGCTGCTGGCGACTAGCTGGCAGGCGCTACTGGCGGCTAGCTGGCAGGTGCTGCTGGCGGCGAGCTGGCTGGCGCTGCTGGCGGCTAGCGTGTAAGCGCTGCTGGTGGCGAGCTGGCAGGCGCTGTGGCGGTGAGCTGGCCGGCGCTGCTGGCGGCGAGCGGGAGGCGCTACTAGTGTCGAGTGGGCAGGCGCTGCTGGCGGCTAGCTGGCGGCGAGCCAGCTGGCTGTAGCTAGCTGGTGGCAAGCAGGCAGCGGGAGGGTCGCGGCGGGCAGCAGCGGCTGGTGGGCAACGGCGGGCAGCAAGCTCGCGGCAGCGGGCTGTGAGCTGGTGGCTGCTCGCTGGCGACTGGCGCTGGCGGCTGGCAGCAGGCTGCTGGCGCTGGCGGTTAGCGCTGGCGGTGGGCAGCAAGCGCTGCTGGCGGTGGCGGCTGGTGCTGCTGGCAGGCGGCGGCTGGCACTGGCTGCTAGTGCTGGCGGCGGGCGGCTAGAGCTGCTGGCGCTGGTGGCTAGAGCTGTTGGCGTTGGTGGCTGCCGCTGGTTGCTGGCGCTGGCTGTTGGCGCTGGCTGCTAACACTGGGTGCTGGTGCTGGCTGGCTGGCGCTGGCTGGCTGGCTGGCCGGCTGGCTGGCGCTGGCTGGTTGGCGCAGGCTGGCTGGCGCTGGCTGGCTGGTTGGCGCTGGCTGGCTGGCTGGCACTTGTTGGCTGGCGCTGGCGCTGGCGCTGGTTGGAGCTAGCTGGCTGGCTGGTGTTGGCGAGCTGGCGCTGTCGTTGGCTGGCGCTGGCTGGCTGGCGCTGGCGCTGGCTGGCGGGCGGGCGCTGGTGCGGCTGGTGCGAGCTAGCTAGCGCGGGCACTGGCTGGCGCTGGCTGACGGTGGCTGGCACTAGCAAGCTAGTCAGCGCTGGCAGACTGGCGCTGGCTGGCGCTGGCGAGCTGGCGAGCTGGCTGGCGCCGGTGAGCTGGCGAGTGGGCGTGCGCAGGCTAGACAGCGCGAGCTGGCGCTGGCGAGCTGGCAGGAACTGACCCTAGCTTGCTGGCTGGTGCTGGCTACACGGCACTGGCTGGCTGGAGTGAATGACGGGAAAGAGGGGAGGGGGGGCGGGAGGGGACTAGCGTGAGTTACCAGCGGGGAGGTGGGGAGGGGGAAGACTACTAGCGACGAGGCGCGCGGCTAGGGGTGAAGCGCGCTAGGCTAGGGCGTGTGCTAGGGCGGAAGCGTGAGGAGCCTACTAAACCTATCTTTGATACCAAGTTAGAGTAGCGGGAGAAAAAATGACAAAGGAAAATGTCGAGGAGCATACTAGAGTGGGGTTGTACCCCCTAAGAACTGACCTAGCTAGGATGACTAATATATAGACTAACTAGATTATATATATTTATTGACAAATACAACATCTTTTGTACGTGTATACGGGCAGTGCATTTTTACCTAGGAAATAAATCAATAGTCCTTTCACCTAGGAAAACTATCATGCGCTCTCGCTTCCCCTCATCAAACTTGTATGGTACTGGTAACACCTTGCTTAACCAAGTACTACCTGAGAACAAGGATAGCATTTCCGATGCCGGATTCCTTGACCCAACAATCTTCAGATGAAGCATAGCCCTTTCAATGGATAAGGAACTCGAGATG